ATATATATATATACTAAATAAGACTTAAAATTTTAGTTTATATGGTTTGTCATTGACTCAAATGACTTATTAATTTTTTTTAATTCACCAGAGTGGTCTCAGGGGCCAACAGTTTGCAGTCTTCTCTGCGCGCCTCCTCTTTCTCTAGCAGAAGCTCAGAGTTTGAACCTCCAGGGGTCATGGTTGAGCCAGGGGGTCGAGGGCCCGTGTCTCCACGATGTTTTTTGGTAATGTGGGCCTCGGGACCATGTACCGTCTTTACGTGTTTACGTAGAGAGCTCGGATCTGTGTACCGTTTAGTGCAACCAGGTATCTTGCAAACATAAGGTTTCTGTAAAAGAGTAGGCATTTCTCTTGTTTTACTGCTGATAGCATCACTTATATGTAACTTATGATCAATCTTTAACATGATAAAACAAGGTTTGTTTGCTATAGAGTAGAAAGGAAAAACACAATGTGAAAACTGCCAACTGATTTAATATTCACAGTATTGTCCAGTTTCGTTTTTTTAAATGTGTGTGCATTATTACCTCATTGGAATGAGTTCGGTTCTGATGTTTAGCCCGATCTGAAGCGTTGGAGAAGGCCTTGTTGCAGCCCTCGTGTTCACACACGTACGGTTTTTCACCGGTGTGAGAGCGCAGGTGTGTCTTTAAATTCTCCAGGCGAGAGTAGGCCTTATTACAGCCTTCAAACTGAAACAGAAATCATTCATAATAATTAAATAAATGCACCCAAGCTGCAGTGAAAACAAACATCACAAAAATATTAATTATATGAATGTTTTGCTAAAAGACATGCTGTCCCCACAGTCCTATAGTATTTGAGCTACAGCATATCACATTCATGACTACCGTATTTTTCTGATTATAAACCGCACCGGATTATAAGGTGCATTAAGCAAAATGAAACAGTCAGGTAAGTCAAACTTTATTCAACTCATTCACAATAAACACATAAAATCGATTCAAGGTCAGTAAGCCAAACCAGAATTAATACATAAGGCGCACCTGATTATTATAAGACTCACTGTTGATTTTGGGGAAAACTAAAGGATTTTAAGTGCACTTTATAGTCCAAAAAATACAGTAAATCAATGTTTGTCTCGGAAATCTGCCTTAGAGCTCATATACAGTAGAGGCATCATTAGACTCTTTGACAGGGACAGGAAGTTTTTATTGTAGTGCTAAATTATATAAAAAGACATGACACTGTCAGTATGAAAACAACTCCTTATTAAGGTAATATTGATCTGTCATGTGCTGATGAAGTTCAAATGAGAATATTTCTCAAGTCCTGACACTGACATTACTAGATGTAACAAAGTAAAACATTAAAACTTTCCTTGCCTGTCCTACATTTCATAAATGGCAAAGTCACATAAAATTGTGGATGCGTTTTAACAGCAGAAACAACAGATAAATCAGAGATTCACTTCACTTCCTTTTATTTTTATGAAGAGTCTGCAAAAAAAGCAGGGTCTGCCAATGAGCAGTCAACTAAAATACTTGTGTGCTACACAAAGATTGCTTGCTAATGAAACATTGTGTCATGTATCGTAATTATTATGCTCAATAATCCAGGTAGACAAATCTAATGAAGTTAAGTCAGGTCGTCTGGACAGATTAAAAATAAATAAATAAATAAATAAACTTGTTGAAATGTTTCGTCTTTAATCCAAAAGACTTCTTCAGTGTGAGGATCTGCACTAAACTCAGTCTTATAAATGGCCCTTTATCATAGTGGATCAACCAGTTTGTTGTTGACATCCAGAACTAACTGTTCACATGACCAAGGTGGACCATCAGCCTAACGACTGATCGTTAGCGTCCTGATGGCCGCTTGTTATTCACAGGGCGCTGAGTGATACTAGCAATAACAGCATTTGTAAGAAGGTGACAGGTGGACACGGAGGCTCCGCCCCTGTTTAATGATGGACGGTTTCTTTTCACAAAGATGGCCTCCTTTCTCCTCTCTCAAACCATCGTTCCTCTCTATCAAGGATGTGAACATCTTCATCCCTGAAAGAGTGACCGCTGGCCTGGAGATGAGTGTAGACCACAGAGTCATTGTGTCATGTACTGTCCCTGTTTCACATACAGTTTAAACAATATGAAATAAACTCACAGTGCATTTGTGTGGCTTCTCTCCTGTGTGTCTTCGCATGTGAACCACGAGCATGTACTGGGCTTTGAAAGGTCTCTGTTCTCGAGAGCACTCCTGCCAGTGACACACAAACTCTTTTTTCTCTCCATGGATGTGCTCATTGTTGATGTGCTAAACAAACAGATAAGTAAGAGAAGCATTTTAGTCAAAGTGAGACTAATGGATGGACCACTGAAGACCCTCGCAGTGTCCCACATTTACTATTTTCTGCTCATCCCAGAGTGGGGATTTTTGTTTCATTTATTATGTTTCTCACTTTGTACCCATTTTATTTCTCTATTTAATGTTCAGTGTATAATGCCATTACAGAGTATTAGTTTTATGTAACTTATTTCTAATCGACTGAGAAGTTTGGCACAACAGATGCCATTAAGATAACCTTTTTTCACAAGCTATCCCCTTTTAAAATCCTCTAGAAATGTCAACATTGTGGAATATGTGCAAGAAAGACCTTAGTTTTTTCTTGCTTAATCTTACAAAAAAACCTTCACGTTGCTTATTTAGCATTTCATTTGTCTTGTTATGGCTCCTATTTTGCTCATTTCATGTGTCTTGAGTCATTTTGTGTCAAAAAGTGTTAATGTAGCATTAATTTGTTAATATTTTTCACTTTTGAACTTCCATTTACTCCGATTCTTGCCTCATTCTGGGATGTACATTACGAATCTGGGATGAGATAAGGAACCACTGACAGTCAAACCTCTTGGCTTAGTGTGGGTATTCAGCAACTTATAAACTGATAAACTGCTTATATGATTGTGTCGTTGAACGGAACAGATTTTTTGTGTTTGATTTACATGAACCAGCTGGTCTTGTGTGTCAAACTCCTTGTTGCAGCTCTCCCAGCAACAGTTGGTCTCATAGATGGCCTCGGGCTCAGGCTTTCCATCCTCCTTGTCCAAGTCGTCTCTGCCGTCCAGTAGCCCCATCAAATGATCCTGCTGGGGGGGAAAAAAAAACAGCAAAGTGAGGCTGAGTTTATTTTGCACATTTATTCTAATACTAATTTTACCTTATTGTAACTTTTTACATTTTATCCTGATATGCTGAAAGCTACCCACCAGCTACAGCTTCATGAACACAGACTGTAAAATGCAGTAGATCCTACTCTTCTTGAATGTGCCTTTTTTTTATTGACATATTGCACACAAGTACTTTTATAAATCTACACAAGTTCACTTGAGGGGTTTAAATGTAATACATAAATAATAAGACATCACCTGAGTGCCAGTGGAAGAAGGACTGGCTACGTCTGCCTCCGACCTCTCCTCCAGGCTCTTCACATTCAAGCCGTCCATCACTCCTCCCAGCCCTGGCTCTGTTTTCAGCTGCAAAACACAACACAAGTGACTGCATCTCTTTTCAATCTGCATCTGTTAAATTATATTATCAGTGAATACCAACAAGTAGAAGAAGAAGCCTTATGGACACTGAATTTAGTCTGAATAGTGTGTGATGCGAGTGAGAGAACCATCTTACGTGTCCATGTTTGGGTGGAGCCTGCAGTCGAGGGTTGTGGGGAGGTAAACGAGAGGCTTGGCAGGGAGCAGGTGTGTGGCCACCCAAAGGTGTACCCCCGTTTCCTCCATACATGGACCCTTGTTGTCTTGAGTGGCAGTTTATGTTGCTGGAATAACTGAGAGAAGGACTGTAAAAGACATAAAGACTCAATAAGAAGAACCTCAAATTAAACAGCACTGATTGAAATACATTTACAGAAGTTTATATTTTGGCTCAGTGCCGCCTTTCGGTGAGAAGGTCGCTGGTTCGAATTCCAGCCAGGGACCTTTCTGGGTGGAGTTTGTATGTTCTCTCCGTGCATGCGTGGGGTTTCTCCGGGTGCTCCGGTTTCCTCCCACAGACCAAAAACATGCATGTTAGGCTGATTGGTAACTCTACATTGTCTCTAGGTGTGAGTGAGAGAGTGAATAGTTGTTTGTCTCATTTGTCTCTATGTGTCCCTGTGATGGACTGGAGACCTCTCCAGGATGTCCCCCGCCTCTCACACAGTGACTGCTGGATATGGGCACCAGTGACCCCCGTGACCCAAAAAGGAATAAGCAGGTAAGATATTGGACTGATGGATTTTTTTTCATTCACTTGAAATGTGTATTAATTTTGTCCACTAATTTCTACTTAATTATCATACCTCAGAATACACCTAAACAAAAGTCTTGATCCAGCCCTTACTTCTTTTAATTTAGCCCCCAAGGAACTCATCGTTATTGCAGCAATTCAAAGTAGTCAGATACAAGGATTAGTGCAGAAAAAGAACAGAAAAAAGCTGCCAAAATCAAAAGATAAATCTTTTCAAGATCTTTTGGTACCACTTTACTATAAAGCTCCCCTTATAGATGGCTAATAGTTTATAGATACATTATTAATTCCTCTATAAACACTTTATAAATCATTAATAACTGCTTATTATGCATTAATTAAGGGCGACAGAGACAAAACTGACCAGTTTGTTGTCAAATAATGAGCCAAATCTGTTCACCTATATTTTTCATCTAGAGTTGTTATATTAAACATTTCAGACTAAGTTACTACCTTGTAAGCACAATAAGCATTTGTAAACCTATTTCTTTAGCATATAATATTGTACTTTATCACTGCATTTTAAGTATCTACAACTAATATTATATCCTAAAAAATTAGGTTTACAAATGCTTATTGTGTTTACAAGGTAGTGACTTAGTTTGAAATGCTTACCTGTAATATAACAGATGAAATGTATAGGTGACAGATTTGACTCACTATTTGGCAAGAAACTGGTCAGTTTGTCTCTCTGTAGCCCTTAATTAATGCATAATAAGCAGTTATTAATGATTTATAAAGTGTTAATAGAGGAACTAATAATATACCTATAAACTATTTATTAGCCATATATAAGGGGAGACTTATTGTAAAGTGGTACCTATCTTTTAAATAAAATAAAAAACTGGTTCAAAACAATTCAGAAGATTACAAGAAAGCCATGCTCTTTTGAAGCAAAGTGTAAAGAAGTGAGCCATTTTGAAATGTACTAGATAACAATTTAAACTGCATATTGTTTATGTTGTGTTTTTGAAATTATTACATCTATACAATACATAAATAAATAAACAATACATTTAATGGTGGAGGGAACGTAGACAGCACTTTCTGAGGTTGGCGAACATCGATTTGAAGACATCGTACCTCATGGCGCTCACAGAGAGATGACCGTAGGAGCTGGCTCCGTTGGGGTTGCAGCGCGAGTTGACAAAGGCCACCAATGAGTTAGGAGAGGTCCGAATGACAGTCTGCAGGTCTACACTGGCATCAGATAAAGGTGAGATGGACAGAGCTCTCTTTTTACTCAGCTTCAGCATGGAGCGAGGTGTCGAGAACCTCGAGCCTAAAGGAGACAGAAGACGATACGAGAGAAAGTGATTATCATCAGCAAAGGTTTTGTGACAAGACTAGAGTTACATTTAATTGGTTTCTTGTCTCACCGTCACCGGACTCGATTAGTTCCGAGCCAGGCTGCGAGCGGCAGAAGTTATGATGAGACATCATGTTCTGGTTACAGAAGGAGGCACTGTTGCAACCTGTAGAATATTTAGGACGTTCAGAAGCTCTGAAATACAACTCTGTTGACAGAAACATAAACACCAGGTTTTTGGGCTCCATTAGCTCCAACTGTGAGAGTCAATGAAAAGAATATTTTAAATTGTGTGCTTCCTAAAACAGTGATTAAAATAATGTGTATAAAAACCTTAAACAACGTGAGATTACCAACAAACATTTCAACTGAATTGTGAGAAAAAAGTTTGGGTTTTCTGCTGTGAAATGCAGGATTCATTTATTATTTTGAATTAATGAACTGGATTTTTTGTGTTGGACTTTTAGAAACGTATAGACAGCAGTCCCTTGCTACTTTGCGGTTCGACGTCTGCATACTCGCTCTATCGCAGTTTGTGAACATACAGTCCATAATATTGTTGGCAAACAAATAAAATAAAATAAACAATTGTACTGGACACATGATAGTCAAATTTAATATCACTCACGTGATCGGGACAGTACTGGATACAGAACTGTACAGTAAAAAGTTAACAAAAAAAATAAAATACTTAAGACAGGCGCTGCCATTTTGTAGTTTTCTCTCAGTAAGCCTACACTATGGTATATTCCCGCTCATAATGACCACATTTCCCAGAAGGCAACAGGGCCTTGTCCAGAAGCCCTGTTTCCTTCTGCTGAAAAATAAAACAGAAGTAAAGTTTTGATCTGATCGGCGCCCAGCGGACGCAGAGAAGCCGCACTGAACCCATCGAACTGGAGCAAAACCGAAGCAGAACCGGAGCAGAACCAGACCTCCAGACCCATCGGTGAATTTTAAGAGCTGGTAGCCAGCCCTCGAGAACTTATAAGCGCAAACGCACGCTGAAAGCTCCGGAGCTGTTTCAGTAACCCGTCGGGACTTTTTTCATCCAGACTTTGACACAAATCGACCACCTATGGTCCCAGCCAACAGAAGGTCCCCCCCACCACCACCATGCGCCTCGGTGCTCAAGAGCTGCAATGGACTGGACCAGAACCGGACCTTCAGATTCAGCGATGAACCCAAGAGCAAGTAAATAAAATATATACAAGCATGTTGTTCAAGTCAAAGTCAAAGTTTCTTTACGTATTTGCCATTTGCACCACATGTGGTCCCAGTTATATCCAACAAAAGTATAAACTGTTGAGAAAAACAGTAATAACATCTAAGATATGAACTAAGAAATACACTAAACTAAAAATACGCTAAGCACTAGTAGTACAAAATCAATACGCCGAGGGGAAAAAACGAGGGACTACTGTACAGCAAGTTATTTTATCTCTATTTTTCTTGTTCCTTATAATCTATCCTTTTATTCAGCTGTAAATTAAAAGTGCAGAGAAGATTATGCTTCTCCAGAATAGTAAACTGGCCAATTGTGAACTTCTGACCACTCCTTTTGTTGAAATCTGTGGAGTTTCAGTTTCTTACTCTCAGATATCCTTAAATCCTAATCAACAGCAGCTTTGAGATTAAGGAGGATGTAAAAGATACTCTGACTCACCTTCTGTAGGCGGCATGCCCCTGTGGCTTAACATACTGTGTGGTGGAGGGGCCTGAGGTGGTCTCATATACTGGTTCAAGCAGTGGCCATTCCCCTGCCCTGGTCCTGGTCCATGAGTCATGCTGGGAGTCATGGGATTATACATGGCGTGGCAGTCCTGGGGAGGACCATCAAGGAGCGGGGCTCGCAGTGAAGGCACATCGCTGTAAGGAGGCTGGTCTGACGGGACGAGGCTGCAAAAGCCAGAGAAACATTAGAATAAAACCAAAATCAACAAAGAAAAACGACCGCTGACACAAATAAAAATAAAAAAACCAAGGACTGCAAATACATAAAGTATACAAAAAATAAAGGCCTAGCATTCCATAATGAAAGCTTATCACTTTTAATGCCATCATTTTAGGTTAAGATCATCATAAATTGAGAAATGACAGATTTGTATCCATTTGGTCAAACCTTGAAAATAACATGTGCAGTCTAGAGCTGGACTATTCAACTAAATTGCTCAGGGGGCCACAGTTACTGAAAGCCAAGAGAGGCCGGACATCCAGCAGTTATTGTCATTATAAGTTTGTTTTATGGTTTAAAATCTAGTTTTATTTAAAAATAAACCCATTGGTGGGCCAAATTGAGCTCACCTGTGGGCCTGATTTGGCCCTGGGTCACCAGTTGAATAGCTCTTATCTAGAGTATTCATTCTACTCTACAACCATGTTCAATTTTAGTTCAATAATATAACTCATGTCTCCCTCCGACCACTAGATGGTGTGTTACCCTTTTCTTGTTCCAAACTGTGGAAATTTACTAATCTGGGGTTTTCCCCTGCTGAAACAGAAAATATGAAGCTTGGAACTTTCCAGTCTTCCATAAAGTTCAGTGGATGCTCTGTTGCTTCTTCAGTCTGGCCCAAAATCTGCCTCTCATCCATTCATTTTCTCCGTCTCTCAGGGTCTTTTTCTATTCTGGATCCCCTTTTTCTCCCCTCCTAAATCGTCTTTTGAGTTCTTTAATTCTTTCAATCACGACGTGTATTCCACACAGGAGCTTAATCTGTCCTCTCTAATCCACGGTGCTGTTTCAACCACCCCCTTAAATTACTTCCCACCCATTCCCCACTTTTTTCTTCTTTTCTTTTCTACCATTCATCCCTTCAGTTGTACTTTTCAGCCCCCCTCTGTCCGTTCTGACTCTTTCTATCTTCTCTTCCTCTGCCCCCCTCTCCTCCTGTGCCTCTGTCCTGCCCAGCCACCTTTCTCTCCAACCCTCCCTGCCTCTCCCTCTCTCTGGGTAACCTGAGTGGGGCGCGAGGCAGTCATGCAGAGCGCAGCGGGGCCTGGTCAGCCTGTAATTAGCAGCTGTCAGAGAGAGGCTGAGTCCACCAGCAACCTGGGTGGCATGAGGAGAGGAGAGGGAAAGGGGGAGGAGTGAGTGGCTGAGTTAGCACAGTGTCCACAACAATTGCACACAGAGCTGGACTTTTTGCATCCTCTGGATATTTGTGAGATGAAAATAGGAACTGTTTCTGGACCTCTAGGCCAGGGGCGTCAAACTCACTGACAAAAGGGGGCCAAAATGAAAACCTTTTTCAAACTAAGGGCCAATTTCAGAAACTACATTAACTCAAATCAAATACCCAACCTCTTTTCTTGGTTCCTCCACAAGAGTTTGATTAGTCACATTTCATGTTCTTTGTTGTGCTTTCGACATCATAATCAAAGATTACTGAAAAAAATTCAAGAGATGGAACTATTTTACGTTTCACATATCATCTTGAGGGCCAGATAAGATGTCAACGAGGGCCACATTTGGCCCCCGGGCCTTGAGTGTGACACACATGCTCTAGGTTGAGTCTTTACTTTGTAGATGACTGCTGAGTTTTATGTTAATTTATTCATATTTTGTTAAAAACAAAACAAAGGAGAACCAGGCAGACAAAATGTCAGGTCCAGGTGCACTTTCTGGAGGAAAGACAAAAAAAAAAAACATGTTAAAGATAGAAATAGTTACAAATACAAACAGTTAAGAGAGGAGCAAGTAAAGAGCAGCAGAGTGAGGACATGTGTCAATTACAGCAATCTAAGTCTACAGCAGCAGAACTATGTGAACAACAAAAATAAATAAAAATAGTGAAGACAATCCTTCAGTGCAACAAGATGAACACGAAGGACCTCCCTCAAACAATGTGGCAACCATCACCCATGGGTTTTGTTCTTCTATACGTTAGCACGTGAACATTTTTAACACGTCCTCTGACACTTATTGACTGATGTCGACTGAACAAAATCAGAAATGGCACAAATCAATGGTTTTGGAATCGGTGGTGCACATTGAGAGATTTGTCAATGAACACATCTTGAAAAAGACACTCAAAAATCCATGCACACACATTAGTGGAAATTGTAGTCCAATAATTTAATCTTTATTTAAAGGTGGATTTTTTTTTTCACAAACATGGGCTCATTCAGGTGTCTTCTGGCAAACTTTGAAATCTCAAAAGCACTTTGTTTTTACAGCATATAGCTTCTGACTGCTCTGCCATAAAAGATTGATCGGCAGGTGGTTGTTTAGATTTGTCTTTCTGTAAGGATCTCCCCTGTTCACAAATAAACAATATTCTCATCTGGCAAAGGCTCTTTATCACTGATAACTAATATTTTATTTTTGAAGTCTGGTGGTCAGGTAACGTCTTCTGTTTGAAAGTAATGGATATGTGCTCTTAAAGTGTAGAGGAAAAATATCATCAGTTCATTATTACCATTAAAAATTCATATTGATAGCACTGAGAGACCGCTACAATATGTGAAAATGGTTACAGAAGTAAATTAAGCAATCGTTAGTAAAGACAGTGCAGATTATCAGAATGTGGTTAACGTTTATATTTTAATGACCATGAAGGACATAAAAAGCATCAGGAAAACTCTGAATGTAACAGTAGGATACAATATGTATGTAAATAAGAGACTTCAGTTGAATATTTCTGACAAGAATTGAAATAAATAACAAAAAATATATATATATTTTTTCCAATGTGAAGGTTTATGACTAGACTGATAAGGAAAAAAAAGAGTATTAATTTGACGCTAAAACCCTGAAATAGCTTATAAATGTTGTTGCAGTCACCGTGCTCTTTCTAAAGTCTTAATCAAACCTTGTGTTTACATCACACTGTCGATGGGAGGAATTAATGTACAGAAGTAATAAATAAACAAAGTGCTATGTGTTGTCATCATTGTATATTCCCATACAAAGATGAAAATGGCTCTCTGCATTTAACCCATCACACCTGGGATGCACCCAGGTGGAGCAGTGGGCAGCTATGTGGGCACCTGGGCAGCAATTCGGGATTGGGTGTCCTGCTCAGAGACACCACAAGATGTGCAATGACCGGGGATTGAACCCAGGACCTTCGGGTCCTGAGTCAGCTACCCTGCCCCTACACCATCTCAATCCATAAATCATCAGAATATAAAGATTTATTAAAATCCAGCACCCACCATTATAGTCCTAAGTTCCTTTAACATGTAATCACTATAGCAGAATATGATGGTTACCATATTTTTTGACATATAAGTTGCAGCTTTTTGCATAAATTTGCAAGTCCTCTGACTCATACACCAAACCATCCATCCATCCATCCATTATCTTTACCCGCTTATTTCATTTTGGGTCACGGGGGTCGCTGGTGCCCATGTCCAGCAATCACTGTGCGAGGGGCGGGGTACACCCTGGACGGGTCGCAAGTCCATCACAGGGCCACATAGACACAAACGAGACAAACAACCATTCACTCTCTCACTCACACCTAGGTACAATTTAGAGTTACCAATCAGCCTAACATGCATGTTTTTTGGTCTGTGGGAGGAAACCGGAGCACCCGGAGAACACCCACGCATGCAAGGAGAGAACATGCAAACTCCACCCAGAAAGGCCCCTGGACCGGGGTTTGAACCAAGGACCTGCTCGCTGAGAGGCAGCAGCTCTACCAGTTGCGCCACCGTGCTGCCTACACCGAACCAACTAATATATGTTTTTCCCCATATTTATAACCTAATTTTTGGCTGAAATCTGACGATTTCACTCATTCTGACATGAAAAATATTAAACATTACCATTTGCAGCCACTAGAGGGTCCTCGAGCATTATGGAAAGTCAAGTGTCTCATTAATAGGTAATAGTGGCTATTAATGAGATACTTGGCTTGCCATACCAAGCCACCTTCGTCTTGCTCCGGAACTCCTGGAGCAAACGTCAAATCAGCTGCATTTCAGCGTGCTGTCCAGGTGAAATGCAGCTGATTTGACCATTAAAGTGAATTTGTTAAGGAAAAGTTCAACTGAGACACACCTTTACTATAATGTCGAGCAAACAAATAATTGTTTTTAGGTGGTTATCTTGTGAAATGTCGAAGAAATGCACAGCGAGTCCCCCATCTGCGCAGCCGCAAAAGTTCAACTAAGAAACACCTTTGCTATAATGTTGAGCAAACAAATAATTGTTTTGAAGTGATGGGGGCCGAGATGGTGTAGAGGCAGGGCAGCCGGCTTGGGACCCGAAAGTCCCAGGTTCGATCCCCAGTCACTGCACATCACGTGGCGTCTCTGGGCAGCACGTCTCATCCCCAAAATGCCCCCCGGGCGCTTTCAATAGCTTCCCACTGCACCACCTGGTGGTGGATGGGTTAAATGCAGAGACTAATTTCACCATTGTATGGAAACATACAGTGCTGACATTGTGATGACATTATTATTATTATTAATCTTCTTAAATTCTTGTTAAAGTCCTCTCGTGAATGCTCTCGCGACCGCCATTTGGCAGCCATCGATTTTCGGCACAAGTTTCCTGGTGGTCAGCAGTGACGCATAATAGATGCAACTTATTTATGTTTTTTTCACTTTATTAGACATAGTTGGACTGATACGACTTATACGGCAGAAAATACGGTATATGTGTTTGTTTTTTCACGTTCGGCCCAGGCAAGTGTAAAAAAATAGATAATATAACAAACCAGTTACAGAAACACCTGAACACATGGATGATGAATGCCGAAGGCTGATAACGTCAAGGACGGGACGAGTCAGAGGCAGGAGAGTGTATTACTGATGGAGGAGTATGCTAGTGAGGACGATTTCAGTGGAGAAAGTTCAAGTGATTTAATGGATTCATTTGATGACTTATCTGCAAGCAATGAAGAACAAAGTAGAACTGTTTGGTGTGAAATTATTGTTCAGCTAGAAGGTCCACGAGAAGACTCATCAGTCCTGGAAGGACCTTACTGGCTTGAAAACACTGACTGGTATCTGACAGTATTTACAATAAAATAACATTTTCATAGGCAGCACGGTGGCGCAACTGGTAGAGCTGCTGCCTCTCAGCGAGAAGGTTGCCGGTTCAAATCCCAGTCCGGGGCCTTTCTGGGTGGAGTTTGCATATTCTGTCAGTGCACATGTGGGTTTTCTCTCCGGGTACTCAGGCTTCCTCCCACAGACCAAAAACCTGCATGTTAGGCTGATTGGTAACTCTAAATTGTCCCTATGTGAGTGAGAGAGTGAATGGTTGTTTGTCTCTATGTGTTCCTGTGATGGACTGGAGACCTGTCCAGGGTGTACCCCGCCCCTCACACAGTGATTGCTGGACATGGGCACCGGCGATCCCGTAACCCAAAATGGAAGAAGCGGGTAAAAGATAATGGATGGATGGATAACAATTTCATTAAAAATAATCTGAATGTAAGGACTGTTTGCTTTTAAACCATCTGGAGTCGATGGACACGCTTTCAAATCACACGAGTAATTTCAGTCGCTGTAGTAGAAAACACACAGCCGATCTGAGACTTCATTTTAATTTGTGTCAAAAGTAAAGACTATACTAACTAACTATATTATATACTATACTAAGGGTGCACCAATTGCAGTTTTCTGGCCCCTAAAATGTCTGACCTGCCAATTCCGATTTTGGCCGATTCTGATTTCGTTTCATAAGCAACACTGTCAGGTGTTATAAGGTCACAATGCACCTTCAAATTTCCAATGTTATTTTATTGAAAAAAATACCCTTGAACAATATCCTAGAAACAATACAAACTTGTTTTAACTGGCCATGAGGTAGTGCTCTGAAATATAAATGAAGTTTAGACAATTGTTGTTAAAACTACAAAAAAAAAATGGGTAAAATCGATTTCTCATGTAAGTATTGGCCGATTGCCAAGCACCCAAAACTAAGGAAATCGGAGCTGATACTATACTATACTAACTATAACCCAATCATTTAAATTGTGCTGATAGGTCAAGTAAAACCAGAGATATGATAAATAATCCACAAATAATTCAAATGGCTGTCCCGCTTGATCCCCGTCATGACATCACATCCCATATCTGGAAGTGAAGGGCTTTTTCCAAAGCAGCAGCTTGAAAACTCAAATAAATACATTTTTAAAACAAGTTTGCATTCCTTTTCAACATTTGCCACAGAACACAATTGTTTATTTTTTTTGTCTCCATCATATTTTGCTGGATATGCAATATGAAACAATGGTGGGTCCTTCAAAACAGTCTGTAAGTAAGCCAATATACAGTACATTTGCTTTCCTGCAGATTCATGACCGCTGCTGTAATATAAGGAACTGCATGTTTTATGCTCTAGTTGGTGGGAAACATACACTTTTCTATTTGTATTTAATAGTTCTCTGAACATGCTGTCTTACCCTCTGGGGGGCTGACTGGAGGAGTTCTCGTAGTAATAGAGCCCCTGATGTGGCTGCATGTCCACTGGCATTGGAGCTCCTCAGACCTCCAGCTCCCCTTCCAGCCTGGACCTGACACAAAGAGACAAGACCAAGGTTAGAGAGGAGAACTAAACAGTCCCGACTCAGTGAAACTAAACTAAACTACACACAATTGTGGTTTGAGAACAAAAGAAACAACTTGTGGGATGTTAATAACAGACCAAACCAAAGTAGAAATAACAGTTTAGGAACAAAATAAACTTTGAAGCTTGAGTCAAGCTTTTTTTAAACAGTGCTGGGTCAAAAGATTACATCCGGTGGTAGAAGTTAAGCATTATAATGTGAGGGAGGCTTCTTAAAATGGGACATTTCATTAGGAAAAAAAAATGTAAAAAGTAAAAACTAACTACAGCAGACATGATACAGTAGAATACAACACACAGACAATAACTGTTTTTAGTCAAATTAAAATGCCAGCTCCAACAACTTTAAACTGTTTCTTTTGCAAAAGATCAAATTTATGTCTTTAAGCTGAGAAAACCCATTTTGCTAAAAGTAAAGATACAAAATGCTGAAATGAACCCCATGCATACTTTATTCATTCTGCAGTCATTAAGTACTTTAAATACAAACAGTGTATCCAAAGCAAAACTTCTATCTGAATAAGGTGGATTTATTTCACTTATTTGTAGTGTATGAATGGTTTTATTAGATCTAAAGTTCTGAATAAGAAGCAAGGTGGTCAACACAAGTAAGAGATATATTACGGTAGTAAGGTGATGGTACTGATTTGCTCCAATACAGTTGCAAAGATCAGACAAATGCAATTGTGCTTCTTTAACATTGCTCACAGTTGCACCTTTCATGCAGGAGATGGATGTGCATGGGGGGTGAAGAAAGTTTGGGTTTTGCCTTAAACCTTCAAGGAAGAAAGTTGGGGGATGCTTGCAACAAAAACTGATGAAAACATGAGCGCAGAACAAGACAGCCTTTTGTGTGAAACAGATTGAGAGGGTATCTTTCAGCAGGATTGTATAGGTAGGGTACAACCAGTGGAGATTTCTTATAAACTACTCATTAAATCGAACCACGTCTGTGCAGGTAGCATAAGGCCGAGATTGTGGGTTCCAAGATGTTTCAAAACTAATTACAAATAATAATTGGAAAAACTGCATGTGGAAAAATGCACATTTTCTTTCAAATTCCACTGTCACCATTTTAGTTCAGTTAATGTCATTTCTGTTTTGAACTTGCTTGGGTATGTGACCTGTGCCGATAAAATTAAATTCAGTTTATTTCTATTGCACCAAGTCACAACAGAAGTCGTCTCAGGGCACTGAACAGAAACATTCACATAAGAATCCCATTAATAAAAGTTATCTATCTAAGGAAGTCAGATAGCATTGAATCTTTGGTTCAATGCAGTTTTCTATCCTGAGTAAGCACAAAGGAGACAGTGGAAAGGAAAAAATCCCTTTCAACAGGAAGAAACCTCCAGCAGAACCAGGCTCAGGACAAGCAGCCATCTGCTTCGACCGGCTGGGTTTGAGAGGACAGGAAGGAGAAACGATGAAACAAAAAATGACAGGTCCTGGTGTACTTTCTTTTGAAAGGAAGACAAAAAAAAATAAAACATGTTAAAGATAGAAATAATAAAAAATGCAAACATGTAACGTAGAGCAAGTCAAGACAGCAGCAGAGTGAGGAAATGTGATCAATTTGTCCTCCAGCAGTCTAAACCGGTAATCCAAGCCAACCCCAAACTATAGGATTTATCAAAAAAGAAAGACTTAAGTCTAGTCTTAAAAGTAGATGATGTGTCAGCCTCACAGACAGAAACTGGAAGATGGTTCCACAAGAGAGGATGGTTATCCTCTTACCTGTCCGATTGATCAACCTTCTTGCCTACATCTATGTACAGAGCCCATTCCTGCCCTGTTCATTTTGGTGTCCCACAGGGCTCTGTTTTTGGGCGATTGCTGTTTCTGCTCTATCTGCTCCCTCTTGGTCCGATACTTTCAACTTTTAAGAATATATCCTATCATTGGTATGCTGATGACATCCAGTTGTATATTTCTTTTCTTCCAAATGAAGTTTCAAAACTACACATTTTACTTAACTGCTTGGATTCAGTTAAAAGCTGGATGACTGAAAGTTTTCTCCAGCTAAACAGAAAAAACCCCAAAGCAATCATTTTTGCTCCAAAAAAACCCAATGCAATGATAAAGCAGATCCTTGGGCCTCTTGGTCATTTTGCTAAATCCTCAGTTAGAAACCTTGGGATAACCTTTGACTCAGGTTTTACTCTGGAACCTCATGTAAAGTCTCTGGTTCGTTCCTGTTTCTACCATCTGCGAAATATCGCCAAGCTTAGCCATACTGTTTCTCGTCCAGAATTGGAAATATTAATTCATGCTTTTGTTTCGTCTCGCCTGGATTTTTGTAATGCTCTGTACACTTGTTTAACCAAAACCTCCCTAGACTGGTTGCAGTCTGTACAGAATGCTGCTGCTAGACTCCAGACTGGATCTTCAAAATTTTGTCATATAACTCCACTTCTAAAGCAACTCCATTGGCTCCCAGTTCATTATCGAGTGGATTTCAAGGTTTTGGTTTTGACTTGGTGAGCTCTGCATGGACAGACACATCTCGGAACTTTTACATCCCTACATCCCAATCAGGGCTTTGAGGTCCTGTGATCAAGACCTGCTGATTGTCCCCCAGACAAAACTGAAAACTAAAGGAGACAGAGCCTTTTCTTCTGTGCCTCCAAGACTCTGGAACTCCCTTCCTCAAACTCTCCAACCAGTGGACTCAGTGGCATCTTTTAAAGGCCAGCTAAAAACTCATCTTTTTAAATCTGCCTTTGCTTAAATTTGTTTTGTGCACTTTTTTATTCTGTTTGTCGAAGCACTTTGTGATTTTTATCTTGAGAAGCACTATATACATACAGTTTTACTTACTTACAAGAGAGAAGCTTGATAACTGAAACAGCTGTCGCCCTTTCTAAAATGGAAAATATATTATTGCTGTACTTGAGATATGCGTAAATATGAATCCAGAATGACACCATCTAGCAAATTTCTTGCCTTTATAATATTTGCTTTAGAAATATATCTTTTTTTTTTTCCTGCTGCTGTAACATATAGAAATCCCTTTGTATGATTTTTGGCATCATTGTGATGCTTCTTTATAAACACATGGCTGGAATTTTCAATGACCTCATTCCAGAACAATCAAAATCAATTTTCACATTGTCACTCTTGTATCCAAAATTAGTTTGTTGCTGGCCAGGTGATAAAGCACCAAATTTCACCAAACTATATTACAGTATTTATCATTTTGAAGCTACTGAAATGGAGAAGTAGAAAATAATACAACTCAGCTTTGAATAATTCTTCATATTGTGACTCATTTTGGCAACACAGTTCATGTAAAGGTCTTAATTTTTGTATTTTCTGTCTGTTGTGAGCTACAACCTTCATCATGCAACAAAAAATGTCTTTATGTGACAAAGATTCAAGCCCACACTGGGACGGCTTCTGTCTTGCAGGATGAAAGCTCAATGGTTTCAGTGTAACAGCCTACCCGGCCCGTTACGTGGCAGCCCGGGTGTTGAAAGGGCAGCAGGGACCTATTTAAGCCCACAAGTCACCACGGGGCATTTTGCTACAAAGGCTCACAAGTGTCTAAATTATGTGATCCGGAGGCTGCTTGCTCACGTTCAACACAGACTTTGGATGTGTGCATGATAATTAGCTGGAAGTGCTAAATAGAGATCTAGTAGCACCTCAGCTGTCCAAAACTAATAAATACCAAGAAGGGAGACCCCCAAGCCTTCAGTGCTCAAACCCTCTCCACACACACTGTCACAGCTGTTAGTCTCAACAGGGGGTAGCATAATAATCCAATGGCCACCAAGCCTACAGGGTGTGTGTGAAGAAGTGTGTGTGACAGTGTAGTAAACCAGTTTAAGCAAGAACAGTAGCAGATGTGTGTGAGAAGAAAATTTTGGACAAACACATTTGCAGCGGCAAATTTATCTGTGAGTGTGTGCAGGGTTAAAGGAAGATCCCAGGAAAAAGACTGAATAATGTATGAGCCCACCTGCACATACGCAAGCTGATTTTTTTTCATCTGTTTGCTAATATATCCTCTGGGAGTGAGGCAGCAAGTGTGAGTGTCACTGTTCTAGTCCCATGCATATACTAAACAGAGTAATTAATTTGCATAAAACATACAGTAACTTACTCTCTTGTGCAGAGAAAGCAAACGGAAGAAAATGTTCACAGAGTCTGAGCAGCCCTCGCTAAACGAAGTCATGTTTCCATGCAAGGTTTATGACAGCAAATAGCCAAGAATTGATATGCTAACATATATAGATGGTGATTTTGCACACAGTGCTGACACAGGTGTCGTAGTAAAGCACTATTTTAGGTTGGTGTTTTGTGAGAAACTCTGAAGGAGTTTTGCTTCTTGGTGTGATTCTGTGGTGCTGGGTTTGAGAGAAATTGGGAAGCAGCATATTAAAAACCCCAAGGCCATAAATCAAACGGCTGACCAAACAAGTCCGCTCCGCTGTGGCACAGCGAGCGGGGGGCAGAAAACCAAAGAGCTGAGGATGAGAACAGGACATTCAGCCACCTTCTACACCCAAAACCTCCGCATTTAAACACTTGACCAACCCAAACATGCACATGGTACAAGCTGTAGGCACACTCCTTGACTTCTCCTTCAAGAACAGCTTTTTAAGCATTTATTTAAACGTAACAAGAATGGTTGTATCAAGTGAGCTTACCTCAACAACACTTTAAGTCATGTTTACACATGAACAATCTCTGGAAACATTTTTCCAGTGATTGTTGCAAATTACAGAGATATTGCTGTGCTTGTTGAATCCACTGTAGTTTACATGCCAGGCGGAGTTGCCAGATAGGAAACGATTCTTTAAAATTATTCAATTTTGACCCAAACTGTTGCATATGTGGTAAATATAAGTGCATTTTCTAGGTCATTGGGGCCAACTCTGTCAAGATTAGGTGTATTTTTG